AGTCTGCGCTGAAAGGGACCAGGTTCGAGTCCGTGGATGCAGTGAAAGCAAAAGCGACGCAACTCTTGAAGAGCATAACACAAGATGACCTGCAGCACTGCTTCCAACAGTGGAAAATTCGCATGGAGCGGTGTAGGGATCGGGGAGGGGACTACATTGAAGGGGATAACATTTCGACTGTCTGATTTTTTTTTAATAAAGGGTTAGAGCATGAATCCGGTTTCTTTATTGCCACACCTTGTATATACATACACACACACACTTTTTTTTTATCTTATACAGGACGCATAAAATGGGTGCGCTCACTTCATAGTCATCTGGAAGACTTGGTGAATGAAGCATCATCTCACCCAGTGCTGAAAACCCTACCTGCCACTTCAGAACTCCTTCGCCATTACAGTATTGTTAACACTGCTCTAGTCAACTATGAGGCTGACATGAAAGAAACATGGATGAAACAAAATGTAAGCCTTCACTGTTAGTTTCACAAGGCATATACTCACTGACTAAGTAAGCAGGTAACCAACTAATTAACTAACAAAAACTTGAAATCAATCACAATTCATCTTTTATTATGTAATATTTGCATAAAATTTGGGAACTGAACACATATACGGGAAGAAATTTGTTTATGTCTAGATGTTTTACCTCTGAAATTACATAACATATTTTGATGATATTTTATGTTAGGTGGTTTACACTAAAATTTATTAAGTAAACTTAATTTTGTTTCACATTGTCACGATTTTTAGAGTGAATGTAGATGGGGTTTGTATTGGTAATTGGATTTATTGGACACTTACAGAACGTAACCACAAATAACTCTGACATTCTTAATGAGTTACACACTCCAAAGATCACTGTAACTACAGTACATATAAAGTCTTCTCAGTCTCCCATAGCCATTGCTTGATAGCAGCTTTCAATAGCAGACAGTCCCCTTACTCTGGGCTCCCAAACTCTCCCCAGTCTCAGCTGTAGCAACCCTCGACTGACTCACTCACCAAGTACCTGCTCTTCACTTCACAGAACTCATCTGACTAAGTGCAGGTCTCAACTTGTCCTGCTTATAACATCTTGGCACAGACCACACAGAAAACACTGCTCTTTTTTGTAATTCATTTGTTTCCATGGGAAGGTATTTGTTTGTGAAGCTCTTACTCACTAACAGCTGTTGTGTATTTGCTTATCTTTCGGTCCTTGCCCTGCAATGGGTCTACATGCTACAATATTATTCTAATAAAAACCACACTTCACATTAAGCTAAAAGAGAACTTCATAATTCTTTTGAAAATGGTTCAATGTACAGAAGTTTTACAGATCATGAAATATACAGGGTGTCCCAGGAGGAATGGACCAAACTTTGGGAGGGTGTTCCTTATGTTAAAGTATGCTGATATAACCCAAAACACCTATGTCCAAAGTTGAACGGTTACGGAGATAATGGCCCGAGAAAAGTGTGGTCTTCTGGCGGGTCCACGCTCTATACCTGTCAGCTGACATGTCTTATATGTTTGTCCTTGAGTGTCGTGATTCACACTAGCTGTAAGCTCATGTGCTACCTACAGAGTACATTGTGGCGGGGTCGTGATTAGTTGTGTGATGAGTTGCTGAAATGCCTCTTGTGTTTTCACACATGGAATATTGTGATATATATTTTGCGTGTGGATTTTGCGGTGGCAATGCACGTGCTGCTGTTGAAGAATACCAAAGGCGTGTGGGAACTGCCCACATTCAAGCAAGTGTGACAACGCAAGCGTCATTGCTTAACAACAACGAGTAAACAACGGTTGCTAGGCAAAGCGAGTAAACAGTGGTTGCTAGGGAACTTGTAGAAAACAGTTACGTAATAGGTACTGCTGTTGCCAGATACCGTGTTTACAAGTTACAAGATCGAAGGATTCCATCTCGAAGTGTATTTACACGAATTCGCCAGACATTGTGTGATACTGGTTCTCTTCCGAGTGTTTCTGTGCACTCTGAAAGGGAGGATGTACGAATGATAAACACACGAGAGAACATTCTTGAGATGGTTCAGAGAAGTCTGCATCTGTCCACTCGTAGAATGGCCTCTCACATCGGTGTATCACATATGCAGGTGTGGCGAACTTTACATGAAGAGTTGTGTCCTTACCACGATCAAAGGGTACAACATCTGGAACCAGGCGACCATGCACAGCGTATGGATTTGTGCCACTGGATAAAAGCTCATCCCGAACTGTTAAGCGTCATTTTATTCAGTGATGAGGCATCTTTTACCCTGGATGATGTAAATAATTTACGAAATGTGCATGCGTGGTCCCATAATAATCCACATGAGATAATGGAAACGAAATTCCAAAAGAGATTTTCCATGAATGTACGTTTAATACAGTTATGTGGTCGGCTTATAGCGCAGGCAGCCAAGTTACGTCAGTGCTTGCCAGTCATGTGTCATGTATAGTGCTTGGAAACCCTAAGGACAATTATGACATGGCGAGCGAGTATTTTGTACTTCAATTTTATGGCTTCATGTCACTCACAAGTTAGTTTGATGTTAACGTACATTATTAACATTACAGAATCCACATATTCCTGCCAGTTTTAATATGTATTTTGTAATCAACAAGTATGTAACACCGGTCAAAGTTTCACACTTCTCTGGCCATTATCTCCGTAACCGTTCAACTTTGGACATAGGTGTTTCGGGTTATATCGGCATACTTTAACATAAGGAACACCCTCCCGAAGTTTGGTCCATTCCTTCTGGGACACCTCGTATATCATGATCTGTAACTTCTATTTAAAACATTTTGTTTTTGTAGTAATGAGTATTTCATAAAGTACAATGGTGAATCATTTCTGACTCTATGCAATATGGTGTCTGTAATGTGACCAGCTTTGCACCAACATGTTTGTGTTCGCAGTAAATAAATATTGAGACCATTGAAGTGTGCAAAATAACAAATAATGTGTTCTGCATTGAATACACTAGATGGAGGAAGCTCCACATATTTAGTTAGATGGAAATAATCTCTTCTAGATGACAAATAAATTCCAGATTTTATGAAATTGTTGGTGTTGATAAATGTATATGATTTTGGCACAGGTTTGGTTGTTGGATGAAAGTCTCAACCAGAAGCTGTTATCTTTGAGTGAAGAAACAGGGTGTCTGAAAGTGAATTTGGACCATAAAGTGAAGCTGCTAATACGTGAAGCTGACTGCTTGGCAAAGATGGGGGTTCCCATGCCAGTTGTTACTCGCACATTACTCTGCAAGAGAGACCACTTTATACTTGTCAGTGATTCATTGCAGGTAAGTGACAAGATCTAAAATTTTATGTTTCAGGTATATTAATACAGCGATCATTATTCTGGACCTCATACAAAGCTGTGTAAATAGAACAGTTTGAAACAAAAATTGGGTTTGATGGGTAGAATGTGTCACTTAATGCTTCTCTATTGCATTGGTAACCTCACATAATATACCTTCAACCCACAAATAACGCACCAGTAACTAAGCAGTGTCAGTCTAATCAGCCTGTAGTCTGTGGAATTCCACCATCTAATTCCCAAGCCAAGTTGTTCTCAACCTTTTCTGTTTCACTGACAAGTAAAACAGTAGTAGGTTTTCTGTGGATTGGTCCACTGCCTTCTCACATTATTAGGTAGAAATAACATACCACAATCTAATAACACTTCTGTATGATGCTAAAGTTTAAGTGACTTCATAAATTGACATTAGAATTCCAAGAGAAGTTGTAACACAGCTCTGCCTTCCTATTTCTCAGTACTTAACAGTAACACCTGCTTCTTGCCGCTTGTTTGGTCATGCCAACAAATGCAAACAAGAAGAGAGGGAAGAAAGTCATAATGTTCAGTGTGAAATATATAGTTGTTAGAAGGGTCAGAAAATATTCTACTTTTATGCTAGTTGTTCAAAGTAAATAACTGCTGATAATATGAAACAATTTGGAGATAACATAGATACCCAAAGATGCGGGGCCTCTACAAGAAACTGAACGAGAAGATTGATGGAACACGGGTGGTCTTATAGGCAGTAAATAAGTCCCTCGATACATGGACAAAGACCCTCGTAGACACAAAGAACGACCTCCACGAAGAGGCACGGATAATGAAGGCTGAAATAAGGGTCAATTAAGTGAGAATGGAAGCCAAGATTGAGGTCAGCTGACATGAGATCCAGACACAGTTGAAAGAAGTTGAGGCCAGGGCTGAGCTTGGAAGAGGAACAGGAACCAGTGTGGATGTGGTGAAAAAACATATGTTCAATGGGACCACATCATATGCCATGTTCTGGTGCCAGTTCAAAACCATAGCAGAGCACAACTTCTGGATGTGCCAGGAGAAATCCACATATTTGATCACTGCCATGCAGGCCTGGCCAGTAACATGCTACATGGAGTCCTAAAGGAGTGATCTGTGAAGAAACCCCTGAGGCTTTGGAGGATCACTTCGGGGACTAGTATCTGACCTCTGTGAATCACAGTCAGCAAAATTGAGGATCCAGGGTGTCAGAGAATCATTGCAAGAATTTGCCACAGCTGTCAAGCAGTGTGTACACCGTGCCTACTCTGCACTACCTGAGAATCACATAGGGAGGGAGGCAGACAAGGCTTTCACAGACCAAGCAGAAGACCCCCACCATAAAAATCCAGTTGCTACTGGGAGGAGAGAAAATGGTGAATGAGGCACTCAGGCTGGCCCTCAAGCTGCGGGCCATAGTCCTAGCATCCAGGCCCCAAAATCCAGGACATTCTGGGGGAGCCGATCGCCCTAAACTGTGTGAAGAGACCAAAGACAGTTGACGTTCTGGAGCTGTGGGGAACTAGGCCACTTCCCAGCCTACTTCCCCTATGGAAGGGAGGCAGAAAATGACTATTGGTGCAGCAAATGAGACAGCAGACCTCTGAAAGGAACACAGGAACTGGCAAGAAGGCCTGAATGGTGACCAAGAAACAACAGACAGGCAGACAGGAGGGGTGACCAACCATTGGGAAATGAGCAGGTACCAGCAGAGAAAGGGGAATGCCAATGTACAAATTAAGGCCCCCCACCACACACTGTCATCATGGAAAAGGCAAACCCTAGCTTGGTCACACAGGGCTCAGTCAGGGATAAACTATGCCTTGTGACTGTCAATGTCGAGCCATACATGACTGTCACCGTGCCTGACATTGCCACCAAATGGCCCAAAAGGCAGCTGAGCCAACATGACATCATTAATCATCCTACTGTTTGTTGTTATATAGTCTGTTGCATTGACAGTCCAAAAAATAAACTGCATTGCTGCTGCAGAGACAAACATAATAGAGCATATGAATTATGAAAATCTAAGTCATCATGTTATGCTTAATGATGTTCTGGTTTTCTTGTATATTAAATTCAGTGAGTTCAAGCACAAGAACCTGCAGTACATTGAAATTTATTGCTATTCTGTGATCATATATTCCAGGTGTTGCTGAATCAATTTCTGGCAACAGTACGTCGTGTGAAACTAGAGGTTCGACCACTCTTCCTTCCCCATTTGGTACGTTTGTCCTCCATGCTGTCACCAGGACTTCATTCCATCACTTGGACTGATACAAACTGGAAATGCTTTTGTCAGAACACCTCCAGCGCAATAAAGAATTTTGATGTTCTAGTCACAAGGTAACATACAAAAGGTTATTAAGTGATATGGTGTAAGGAATCAACTTAAAAATTTCTTCCATGTACTTCTTCATGGAATGGTACTTTAGGTATAAGAACAACTTTTTCTTTTGTATGTGGTTACTACAACACAACAATCAGTACAAATGCAGTGTGCCTGTATATAGTGAACGTTCAGGTTGTGGAATTTGACCCTTACAGAAATTGTGATTATACATTTCACAGTGTGAACCATATATTTACCCATATGGAACTCTGGGACAATATGGTATTAAATTTTTTTACACAGTGCAAAAGAGTAATCAGTTTAGCACTGGCAAAAGTGCAGAATATTTTTCTTTTTTCAGTTTTCATGTTATATGCCATAACATGTCTTAAAAATAATGTTAACCTTTAGTGTATGCCATTTGACTTTGCTTGTACTTACTCATGACTGGGGGGGTTTTAAATTTATGAGCTCTGTTTTGCAATAATTCATAATGTAATTTGTAATTTGTAATTTGTGTTTAATGCAATTCTGAGCTGTATAAAGACTAACAATTCTGTCCAATGTGTCTGTTTAAGTTTTACCACTTGAAAACTCAGCACCCTTACATGTTTCAATCCTTACGGATCATCTTCAGAGAGAACATCAATACTTATTCGGAAACCACTATCACAATAGGTGTTCTGAGTGCTAAATTACATACACACATAATGCTTGGAATGCACAATGTACACAATATTCAACTTCTCACAATCACAACAGCCTTCCTGGTATTAAAACTTTTAAAGTTTTTTAAAAACTTTGTTGTTCAAGTTAAAATTTATAAACCATGCAGGTCCGTGTCACTTCTCCTATCATCTTTCTTGGAAGGGGCTGAACTTGTGCCACCTGTCTATCTTGAGAAGGAGATTCTGCAAATATATTATGGGTATTGTATTAATTTCAGCGATCCTACTGTATATACAATGGAACCTCGCTTAACAAGCATAATTCGTTCCAGAATCTTACTCGTAATGCGAAACACTTGTTGAGCAAAACAATGTTTCCCATATAAATTAATGTAAAATACAATAATGCGTTCCATGCCGAAAAAAAAATACTCAAAAAATTTTATGTATAACGTTTATTCAAAGAAAATTATATATACTGTGACATGTTGCACAATGGAGGACAACCCTTCCCTAACCAGCAGTGACGTGGCAACTCTGGCCACAGTGATGTGGCAGATGAGTCAGCGCTCCACCCCCCCCGCAGTGACGTAACACGCAATGCAGCTGTGACACGGGTAACAGCCAACAGCAGTACTGATTGTGTAACAGGTGGGCGCTGCGACTATATAAGTGAACCACACTGCCTATGAGATGAGTTAAAACATAGCCGCTGCCAAAGTTAGTTCTCAAGCTAGCAGCCTACAAGTTGAGTTGGAATCTAACAGCAGTCACGGAAAGAAGAACCAGACGTGTGTGTAATTGTGTAATTGTGGGTATGTAATACAGAGAGATTGTAGAGCTCCCGTACTGTAAAAACGTGTAGACTTCTGAGAACAGTGTGAACAGATTATTACGAATAGGGTTATAAAGTGTGAAACCTCGCAACAGTGTAAGCAGATTATTGCGAATAGGGTTATAAAGTGTGAAACCCCGCAACTGTGTTATAAATAATTGTAGCTGATACTTGCAGGGTGTTAAATAAATCAATTAACAATCCGAACGGCTTCTTCAGTAACGAAACACGTTACACTGGTGTCAGAAGTGGGATTGGACTTACACACATGACCAAACAAGTTTCGAACTCAAGACACGGTTCAGTTTGGTGTCAGAATTGTTAATGAACTTAAACACGCTACAAACATTTTTGTTTGTGCTCCTGTTCAGTTACTTCAACTTTGGTCACATATTTTGTTAGTATTTCCTTTGTTGTTTTTGGGAAATGTGTGCTATTTTCTTTGTAGTATGCATGGCAATTGTAATGCCTCATACCAGTGCTTGCTCTGTTGAGAAACGCTTTTGGGTCACATAGATCAGATTTTCCTGTCCTGTTCAGACTATATTTTGTAAACATTTCTGTTCTTTTATTTAGGGCTTCATAAGATCAGAGGTTTGTAGAAACAAATTATTCATACACACACTTACTAGCAGAACTTCTTGAATAGTTCAGTGCAACAAGGAACTGTTTCTAAATTCTTCAATTTTGAGTGAACCACAGAAGAATGGCATATGCTGCCATTGTTTTGCTTTGTCATAGATAATCAGAGTTAGGAATTTGGAAAATGAATTTTAATAAATATTTTCAGCCTATTGTTTTTTAGTTTTATGATACTATATGCGAGATATTTGTACTACAATTTTATATCCTTCTGTCAGTTTCCACCTACTTTCTGTATTCAATTAAGATTTTTTTATTATTATTGTGACATGTTGTGCAATGGAGGACAACCCCTCCCCCCAGCAGTGACATGGCGGGTGAGTCAGCGCTCCGTCACCCCCCTCCACGCGGTGTCGTAGCCCCCCGCACTGCGATGTGGCACAGGTTCCTGCTGTGACGCGACACCGCAACGCAACACCACTGTTGACACGGGCAACAGGCAACAGCAAACAGGATAAAAGCTGGCTGAGCAGCAAGTTAGAGTTAGTGTGTGATCAATAGTTCTCAAGGCAGCAGCCTACGAGTTGAGTTGGAATCTAGCCAGCGGCGAGTTACGAGTTAGTGTGTGATAATCAGTGACAGTTTGTGATAACTGAGAATTAATTGGGAGTGTGTAACACAGTGACACTTGTATAGATCCCGTACTGTGAAAACATGTAGACTACGGACAATAGAGTGATTTGATTTGCAAATAGGGCTATAAATTGTGAAACCCCGCAACATTGTTATCATTAATTGTAGCTGTTACTTGTAGGTTGTTGAATAAACCAATTAACAATCTCTATGGCGTCTTCAGTAACGAAACACATTACATTATTATGCCTTGCACTGGGAGGCAAATAAATTCATTCTGTGAATGCACTAATTGGTGTTCTGCTTGGGTACAGTTTATGCAAATTAACAATGTCTTAACCCATATTATTTGACAGTTTGGTTAATGCCACTCTAATCCATTCTGCCTATTTTAAATGGAAGATTTGTTTCATTTTTGATTCATTGACCAGTGTTTGCTACACAGTCTTTGCCTGAACTGAGCCTGACAGTGGTATGAATAAGAAACCGAACAGCCAGTTGTTAGACTACTCCAAATTACATTTTCTTCAGCAGCTGTGTGACAGAAACAAAATACACGTGTCATCAAAAGATATTGCTTCTGACTTTTCTTCCAGAGGCACTTGGTTTGAATCTCAGCTGAGACACTAACAATCCTAACTGATGATTTTCATTGTTTTCCTCACACTCTGTAGTTAATGTCAGTGTAGTACTTTCAGTTAGCCCTTACATTTAAGGGCCATGTGGAAAAGTTTATAAAATAAACAGGCATTCTAGAAACATTATTAGAAATTTGATTCATTTTGACTGTTTACTTGGGACAACAAATTCAGAATGACTGCTTGAAAGAAACTGAACATTCCAAGATATTTTCAGCCCTCAGGGGAAGGTCAAGAAGTAAATCTTTCCCTCAGAAATGGATAGCTCAATTACAATTGAATTTCTGATGGCCAGTAATACTCATAGAACATCTGAGACACATTCCACAATTATTGTCATTTTTGCATTGGCATTTTTTGGCCAAAAATATCTCGTTGAAATAAGGAGGTTAGGCATTAAGGTTTTTCGAAAGGGTGGAGGAGATAAGCAGAGGTATCTTTGAGGCATCATTAGACTTCTTTATTATTATTTTTATGCTGTATGGGTCTTCAAATTAAGTATGGCTGCTTGGAAAAATCTGTAAATACGCAAAGATTTTTTACAAAACCTAAGGGCATTGCCAGGAATGAAAATCACTCCATAGAAGTGGATAATTCAATTATAAATACATTCATGGCATTCTTTGATTCTTAGGGAAACATATTAGACACATTATTGTTGTTGTTGTATTGAATTTTTTTAATGAATTTATCTTGACGAAATGACAGGGTGTAGAGGGTGCAGATTTTATAAAATTGTTAGTGAAGTAAGCAGAGGTGTTCTTGAATCATCAATTGATAGTATTGTCTTCTATAGAAGCTTTATGGCACAAGAAAGAAAGAACGGTTGTTTGGAGAATGTTGTAAACATTCTAAGATGTTTGCCAACCTCAGCAGAATGTCTGGAAGCAAAATCACCTCTTGGAATTGATGATGTAGTTTTAAGTAAATCTCTAACATTCTTTGATGTCTAGAGAAACAGTTTAGTCAACACAGCAAAAAGGGCTCTTTTCCTGTCAATTAAAAGAAATTCGTAATGTCGTTATATAATAGGACAGTGGATTCTCATTCAGCCAGCTAAGAGATGCATGTCACAGGTAACAGGTATATCTTTCACATGATAGATGTTAAGACAATATTTATGCAAAAACATGGTATACCACTAATACGTGCAATAACTACTCCAAAAATATATTCCTAGAGTATTTCATCTGATGATCCGTCATATTTTGCTGGGACATATTTCTCTCCACTCCCTTCAGAGGTGCTTCTTCTGACTCATCACTACACTGCAAATACTTTCTCTTCTTCAACACATCATCACATACATTCCAGTGCCTTCTCACAGCTTTCAGATTCTATAATGTAGCATTGTTTATCAAGAAATTTCTTAATAGATGGAGGAAGAGCAAAAGCAATCTTTTGATGTCTCTTATGCTATCTATGGGATAGTTGTGTAAAAAGTAGTAGATTGTGCAGAGCCATTTATTAGTTTTGTGGAACATCAGCTATCTCAGTTCCGTCAATCTTGTAACATTGCATGTTTTTTTTAATTGCTAGTGGGGTGGGACTAAGTCCCTTCTACTGCAGCCACTTCTGACCTATTGTACCAGGGTGATTTGTGGAGCAATTGGTGGAATTAAGATTGGGAGGGGAAACCGAAGTACTCGGAGAAAACCTGCATGTTACTACTTGAAGCCGTTCATATATAAAATTAAAATGTATCTGTAGTTACCTAGAAGGATAACATGAGACGTTCCTTTTTGCAGAGTAAATGATGTATATTCAAACCGCATTCTACAAGTTTTGACAAGCATGCAGAAAGTAACTTTACAGGCTCTTCCAACAGATGAGCCATGGACAGTTGAGCAGTTTCTTGACCACACCGAGTACACCTGTCGGCATGCTGCTATGGTTAGTCACATTTTTCATGCCATGTCTTAGGTAGTACTGCATAGGAGCTACATAATATATGGTGTATGATGTGAGCATTTGTCATTGATGCGACTGGCTAAGCTACTTCCATTGGATCCTTCCTGAGCTGGATCATCTTACAAGTTCATTCCAGGTCTCCAAATAAATTTTGTTGGCACTTTTCATCTCTCCCATTCATCCCATTCCACTTGGTGTTTTCACCTTTAATAGTACTTGACGACAGTTATTAAAATGAAACTCCTCTTTATGCAGTTCTAGCCAGTCTCTGAGAAAGCATCGTGACATGCATCATGACTATTTTATTCCAGATCCCTCCAAGGTCACCAAAATAATATTACAGTTTATTTTGTAGTTGTTCCCATGTATCTATGAATCACATATTCATAAAGTCAGTGTTCATTTCTTGTTATTAAGATTTCATGAGAAGTTTTTAAGCTTCAGTGAAATAGGTTTTTGTATTCCTTCTTGTCCTTATGAGGTTTGTGGTTATAGAGGTGTAATACATATGATGTATTTCTTGTCACCATGTGTATTACAAATATGGTAATTTTACATCCTAGGAGCTTAACCGCAAGAGTCTCATGGTAGAAGAGGCTGTGGAGGAAGTGCTAGATTTGATGAAGAAGGCTGCACAGGAATTTAAGGCTAATTCAGGTGTGGATGAATTTGATTTCTGTATGGAAGGTAAGACATTGTTTTCATTTTGTGGTATTTGTTCTGTAACACCATATAGTCTGGTAGGTGGGTACCAACATTTTGGAGGAAAACACCATGTCCTTCTTCAGGGGAGTTCACCATGTAGATATAGATAGCATGTTCCTCTGAAACATTGGTACCCACCTAAAAACTGCATAATGTTATAATCTAGTAGACTGAGTATGAACTACCATGAAAACCTCGCATTTGTATAAAAAACATTGTCTTGAATATGAAGTATATGACTGCTGAACGAATATGACCCTGTATTCTGTTGGCATATCAATAAAGCATATGAATTATCTTCCATGTGATAACGAGCTTAATATGTAACATTATGTGAAGATAAATAATGTAATGGCATACACTTTGCAACAAAGTCTGTGGCTGTGGTAGTGATGAAATTCAGGTTTTAGTCAAATGAAAGCCTGCCAAGTTATACAATTGTAAAACTGAAACATTAATTTGCAAATATTTCCTGTAACCTCATCCTCAACCTCAACCTGCAGGATAGTTAAGGCTCCTCTAGCTCCAGAAATCTTCACAGACAATAGACCTAGTAGACTGACTCATAGAGTAAAATATTTTTTCTGTGGTCATATATGGGTTTAGATTTCTCTGTACACAGATTAAATCCCTTGCCTATGATAGAATTTAGACTTTGGGAATTTAGAGAACACAACTTATCAATGATGGTTCAGGTCTTATGTTAAGCTGTGTTTTTGTTGTAGTTTATACCTTATGCCTCTTGGTGTGTCTTTCGACCATTTGGACCTCTGTCTCTTTGACAAGATTTGTAATTGACTTTTGTGGAAGTCACTAATGGATACACTTATTTACTGGCTGGGTACATTAATAAATTGTTAAAAAGGTTGCATTTATATGCCATATTTTTGTTGATATTGTTTGTTATTAGCAGCAATGGGAATAGTAAATACTGTAAAATGTAAGCAGCCCTATTAATGTTGTGGTAGTAAAATATAGAGTGAGTTAAAACAATAGGAGTAAATAAAAATAGGAGCAGGATTTGAAGTAGGAGATACTTGTATAGCTTCCAGGAACTTACATTTTTTTTATAATTTGTAAATTGTTTCAGTGAGTTCTTACCTCACTAATAAGTTCCATGCAAAATATGCTGTCAAATGATGGCAGTGTAGTGGTTTCATTTGAATGTTAAATATTGCATCTTCCAAAGCAAAATAGAATTGATTGTACTATAAGAATTAAAATCTTGCGATCCATAGTTTCCTTTCTTCCACTTAACATCTTGTTTTATGATTTTCAGCTGGCTTATGATTTGTAGAGGGTGAAGTCAGGAAACCACGTTTTGTATGTGAGCACTGAGAAGGCAGGATTTCCATTTTCCTAATGATGTTAGTTTTGTCACTTGTTACTGACTAGACACAGGGTTTGGATTGATAATTGGATTTATTGAATACTTATAACATGTTACTAGAAGGGATTATAACACTGTCACTTTATGAATCACAATAGCACATCTTAGTCTGTTATAGTTTCACTGATTTTTGCTAGGTAGCATCTTGCAAAAATGGATATTCCTCTGTTTCCATGCGCATGTTCTTGCCAGCTGACAACTCACTCATTACTGACTAACTTGACCCATAGTTTCTCACTGCATAATCTTGGCATGGACTGACTGCACACAAAACACTGTGTGCATATCTATTGCCAAGGGAGCAGGTTTTGGTTGTCGGGGAAACACATTTATTGGCCATTATCTAGTAATGAACGACTTTTCTCTTTAAACTATTCTGGCTTTCAGCTGTTGTGTCACAGTATGACAGTGAAGATGTTAATGACAGTTTCCATCAGAGGTGACCTTCAATATAATGTGAAATCTGAACAGTGTTTTGGGTTCAGTATGTTCACCTACACAGAGTGTTCACTTTTTACTTGTCAGTAAAGAGGAAGATGTTTGATACTATACTTTTAGACTTTATCCATCATCCTACCTCTTTTGCATAGACATTACTGTGTTTTGTTCTATTTCCACCTTCAGGTGGAGAGGACATGAAGACATTCCTTCTCTGATGTCCCATACATAGAGCTATTCACTTACCCAGGCTAATAGAACCATTGTTTGAAATATAGTGGTTTTAGCCTACTTTCATGTTTTGAAACAAGTTCTGTGAAGAGCTAATTGCCTACTTCCTTTGATATGTCACAGACTGCGTATAAAACATGTGAGAGAGTGACACACAGATACACATAAAACAAGGTAATCTCATAAGCCTCCTACTAAAAATTAGAGGGAAAGGGTACACAAACAGACAGCAAGGTGATCCCATAGATCTCCTTTTATGTGTCCAAAATAAGAAGGTAGGCTAAAAAATAATAGAAGGCTTATGAGATGACCTGGATATTTGTGCATCTGCCCAGCCCCCCAACACCTAAATACCAGAAGAGATGAAGAGATATCTGTTACTAGGCAGCAACTCAGTAAACCTGTTCCCATGGCAATGGCTACACCTGCAGTAATAGAAGAACTTGGATTCAGTGCTTGCTATGCTGTCTTTGTCATATGATGTACTCAGTATGTAGTGAAAGGGAAGTAGGCAATTAGTCCTTCTCAGAATTTTTTGTTGTATAGGAAACTAGGAAGATGGATGAAGTCCAAGAGAATAGTCTTAAATGTTATATCAAAGTCTCGTTTAAAATCTTTGAACATTGGGAAAGATATGCAGACAGTTATGCACCAGATATGGCTGATCTTAAACCCATTATCCCCATTTTAAACTGTAGGTCCCATCTGATTATACTGTAACTCACAATGATTGTGATAGAAGAACTTGTTTTTCATGATGCTGTGATTTACAGAAGAGGTGAGTGGAGGAAAGAATGGAAGTCAGGCTCATGGAAATGGCACTGTGGCTGATGGATCAGCAGTGTCACAGCAGCAGCAGGACTGGAGCATAGTTTGGGAATACTTTGATAATCCTCATAAACTGCTAGCTCCATCTGGGGGTGGAGTATCAAAGGTCATGCAAGATATGGTGCGCAATGCTGTAGCAGAAATGAGACGCTATTACAGCCGCAAAATAGTAGATGTTCTCATTAAAGTCACACGTCACTCTCTTGATTGCCTTCGGAAGCGCTTCAGCTCTGATTCAGAGTCTGCAGGTTGGTTTTATCTTGCTGATTTTAGTTGTACAGGCCCTCAAACACTAAAGTCCCTTCAGACAATTACCAAAACAGTATGAATCACAAATTGTTTAAGAAAACTTTGTAGCATTTACTCACTGTGAAACTTAAAATGCTGTACAATACATATCTACATTCTGCCTGAAATTGGAGGCTTGTTAAGTCCCATTATAATATCCCTCAATATAGATGCAGATAAAAGTGCCTCACTGTATGAAACTTTTTTAAATTGTATAGGATTTCACTGCTCTTTCTTCATAAAAATATAAATATATTTTCTAAAGATAAGACTTTTAAGCATAAACTTGTAATTAATAATTACATATACAGTAGTTTTGTCTTCAGTTGCAACTGTCTGCACTGAGTTATCATTTCTCTGTTGAAGTGTTAGCCCACCCCCACAAAGGATCAATAGGCCTGGTTGTCACATAAATAGTGCCCCAACATAATGCTGTTGCATGCATGTGATCTGACTTCTTTGTTAAAGAAACCCTATTCAAGCTGGAGGGGTGTAGGTCCAATATTGTGCTTGGTCTGACATTCAGATACAGGATGGGACTTGACACTGTAACATTGGTGACATTAAATTAAATTAATTGTTATCTGTGACCTGTCATGTGTTCTGTTGCAATAAATTGAAAAGCATCTATCAGTACTATGTTGAAATTGATTTCGAATAATTTCGAAATTCAGAAAAAATAATCCAGGTTTGGCAGGGTTTGATGTCAATTACGAGTATGTATGACCCATAAAGTGTTAAGGATAATTAAGTTTCTTAATTTTGTGCCAGTTATAGATGATTGGCTAACAGAATGATACACAGCTAAGTACAGTAGTTGGCCATGCCATAGCTCAAGCGGATAGTCGCTGGCTTCCCACCGCGGCGGCCTGGGTTCGATCCCGGGTCTGGACAAGTGGGATTTGTGGTGGACAAAGTGGCACTGGGGCAGGTTTTCTCCAAGTACTTCGGTTTCCTCTGCCAATCTTCATTCCACCAATTGCTCCACAATTACCCTCACGTATCATCTGGGGCTGGTACAGTAGGCCAGAAGTGGCCGCAGGATAAGGGACTTAGTCCCACCCCACTAGCAATAAAAGAAAATAAAAAAAAAAGTACAGTAGTTGCAGTTGTATTGTCCAAAATTCCACAGATGTTTCTATATAACCACTTTTTCATCAGTAGGTATTATCATTGCATTAAAAATTTGAAACTGTCTCTAAGAACCGTGCCATGAAGGCATATAGGGGACATGGAGGTAAACTCCAAGCATTCTTAAATTCTGTAGCTAAGTAGATGTAAGTGGTTAGCTTTGAAATCTGCTCACTTTACTGCTAAGTAAAGAACCTTGAGTAGTCTATGAGACTCTAGAGACAGTTTGACTGTTGTGTTGAAAAGGAATAATAACCTAGCCCCGCCCTTTAGCTCTTAGCTAATCACTTCAGCAGCCTAGCAATCCCAGCTCATGTTATAGTATTGAGAAAACATTCATAAGGCCATAATAAATTGTAAATTTGTTGTGTGTTCCTTTGAAGTTCCACATACTTAAAGTTAAGTATTTAAAGAGAATCTCTAGTTATATCATAGACATACATTTCTGTGGACTTTGGTGCACTCTTCCCTTTTTATATCTTGTTTATTGTAATACATAGGAAGTTAGACTCAGTTATTGAACCTGAAGCTTTGTTCAATTTCCAGAGGTACTGAATGCCTGTCCAGTTTTCCTGCTGCATGCCACACTTATGATACCCAGAGTGGTAGTGAGACCTAGTCTGGAGGATGTGCAAGAGGCATTGGTAGCTGCTGGGAAGTTCATTACCAATGTGTCAAAGGGAGTGGGGCAGTGGACTGGTGGCAAGGGCCCACAGGTGCTGGACATTGGACTTATGGTCTGATGGTAGCTTATATGTAGAACAGCATAAAGGGCTAAGTGTCATGTAGTTTTTGTCCATTCATTAATGAATACACCAAGCAAGTTAGCTCAGCCAGTAACACTTTGGACTCGTATTCCAGAAGTGCCTGGTGTGAATCTCAGCTGGGACATCAACTATCTTGACTGAGGCTTTTCATGGTATTCCTCAGTCATCCAAGAAAATTCCATTGATATACCTTCAATTAGGTCATTAGTGCCTGCTTCCATATACAAGGTGGTTCAAATATGACCGGGACTGATTTTTTTTTAACCAAAATTTCCAAACACTTACTTGCACATGTCAGTCTTCAACGTACTCCCCTCCAGAGTCAACGCATTTTTTCCAACGTTCTGGAACCATCCTGATGCCCTTTTCAAAAAAGTTTTGTGGTTGGCGGCATATCCACTCCCAAACATTCTGGATGATGGCGTTGTCCACAAACTGCATGCCTTGCAAGTCTGATTTGAGCCTTCCGAACAGGTAAAAATCGCTTGATGCCAAATCGGGACTGTACGGCGGATGTGTCAGAAGGTTCCATTTCAATTTCCAGAGGGTTTCCATTGTTGTTTTGGCCATATGGGGCCGTGCATTGTCTTGAAGGAAGGCTACCAACTTTTCACCTCTCTTCCACTTGGATCGGATCTTTCCCTTCACGTCTGTTGCCAGGAGGTCTGAGTAGTTAGCTGCATTGACTGCTCTGGCATCTGTCAGAAAGTCTACATGGATAACCCCCTGCCAGTCCCAGAAGAACGTTGCCATGACTTTTCCTGCGGAACGGCTCCTCCGTGCTCTCTTGGGTTTGGGAGAACTGGTATGCCACCATTCACATGATGATTGCTGGGACTCGGGAATGAAGTAGTGCACCCACGTTTCATCGGTGGTCACTATAGACTTCAAAAATGCATCAGCTTCATCTTCAAACTGCTGTAGGAGACAATTGGCAACTTGCATGCGCACCATTTTGTTCACATCCGTCAAAGTGCGTGGTACCCACCGTGCATTCACCTTGCGATAGTGCAGGTGGTATTTCATGATGTCTTCTACACTACCAACACTGATGGACAGCATTGCTCCAAGTTCCTTGATAGTGATGCGCCTATTCTCACGAATAAGTGCGTCTGCATGATCAATGTTTGGCTTGGTGACGGATGTTCGCGGCCGACGATCATGCGGTTCATTCTCCACGCGCTCTCTGTCCTCTCTGAAGCACTTACACCACTCAAACACGCGGATCCGTGAGAGACACTCTTTCCCATACTGTTGTTGGAGTCTGTGGTGAATTTCAACGGACGGTACAGTTTCTCCAATGAGAAATTTGATCACAATGCGTTGTTCCACGCTCCGCAGTACCTTCTCTTCACTCATCACTCTAGCAACTTCCAGACAGCACTGAACAGGTTCTAACCCTAACAGGAGGGAGGGTGAAGGTTGTGGCTTCACTCTCTCAAGGTCGCACAGCTGCTGCGCAGTGTGGCTTGTTTACAAAAAAATCAGTCCTGGTCATATTTGAACCACCTAGTACTCTATAGTTCATTATTTTCTGTCATCTAGTCATTCAGCATGTATAGTCTGGACTACTGATGGCATGACTGAATAAACTACATAGCAAGTATGGGATGCAAAGCCTAAATGAACAAAGAAATTTCTGTTTAGGTTTATCATCTACAGACTTTGAAACTTTGTAGTAAAATCCTGCTGAACATCATTTGCTTTGCATTAAGTATGACACATAAGTCAAATTTCACAACAGTAATATGTGACAACAAAGATCTTGAGAGACTGGAGAGTAAGGAATACTGTTGTATTTCAAGCCACTAAATTACTTCTACGAGTATTATTGTGTTTTCTGATTCTGTGATGTCAAGATCCCACTGTTTGTTTTAATCATAATAACTTCAGAGAACAATTTTCTGTTGATGTTAAGGAAGAATTTTAGGATTGGTGTAGGGTTACCAGATATATCTTCATGCCCATCTTTATATTTGCTGTAAAACCACCTTTGAGATAATTCTCTTCATCCATCTTCAGTTTCATGACACACACATTAATATTTGCTTGAAATTCAACAGTTTCACATCCAAATTTCATTTGTATTTTAAAGTGTGAAATAATGATCAGAATGGCCTTAAGGAAATATTTAAATGGACAAATGAGGAATACTGTGTTAAGAAGAAAAATTAATCAGATTCCTGGGGTAGCTCTTTGTTTCTTCACCATAATTGTGAAATAGGCTTATTATTAGTAGACAAATTGTAGAAGATTTTAAAACACATTTCTTGCTTAGAGAATATTATTTTATGCAGTGAAATGCTGATTTAACTTCTCTAAGTTTTAAATTAAATTTATATAGCATCTCTTTATATATTTGATATTTGATTTCTCTTATATTTGTTTTTTCTAGCAGAATTTGAAATAGGGTATTCAATTTTGTTATACTCATGGTTGTTGCCAAAGCCATATATTGAAATATATTTATAGTGAGTTGCTGTTGTGTTATGAAGACACAATTTTTCATGAAGTATGTAAGGCTCTTGCATGCTCTTTGTTGATATCTGTTATTCCACAGGATGTATCTTGGCAGTTGCACAAGCTCACATGCATACTCTAGATAACTCATACTCTTTCTGCTTGTTCTAACATAGTCATTGTCTTGCAATACATCTCTTCATATTCTCTGTAAAAGTGTAGTATATAAGTAGCAATTCTATACACCTATTAATCTATCTTTCTCTATTTCTTTTGCCATGTTTAGTCTTCAACAAGTTGCCTTAAGGCAACTGCATTTTTAAAATTATATGTTGATGATGACAAATGAATGTCATGCTTGGAGAAATCTTTTATTTGCATATCATTTTCATTTAAATTGTTGTTCCTTTTTATGAACATAAATTTTAGTAAGTCTGTCATAGAAAACCCTAATGTGGAAATATTTTTACAAAATTTCTGCTGATTCAAGTATCAGGCATTTATGTACTGGTGTTTAAAATTTGATTGTAATAGTTCTAATTTCATAAATTCACATTATCTATAATGTTTAATGTTTGTATAGAATAGATGTGATGTGAGGGCATGCAGTAACATAATTGGTTGAGGCACTATGCCACAGACTGGAAGGTCATGTGTTCAATTCCTGATGAGGTCATTGGATTTTTTAATTTACCTAATCATTCCAGCCACACTGTGGTCCTGAAGCCATCTCAGCCTCTAACAGAAATGAGTACCAGGAATATTCCTGAGGGTAAAGGGTGGCTGGTGCATAAGGCTGACAACCTCACTGCCATTTGTGAGCCAAATGTCTAGAAAATGAAGGAACCTTGACATTTCACAACCATATGGGCCTCTGCGGTCTGTTACAGGGATAGCTTTGACTTTTTTACCTTTGTAGAATAGATGTAATTATTGATTTCTATTTGGGTTGATCTCCAGTACAGACAAGCTCAGTACTGTCCCTTATAATAGGCTAGTGATTTTAAAGTGTTTTGCAGGGTTTCTATAGAAGAAGGAACATCCCATTCTCTAGAATAGACAGAGAGAAGGAATGAGATTAATATGTAAATACTAGCCCTTATTTGTAAATATTTTATAGTTGCTGTGGTAATAACTGTTCTCTTTCTTCTTTCTCTCTTCCCTATCACTGTCTGTCATTGTGTGCGTGATGTGTGCTGTCTGATCCTGCCTTAACCTTTCACTGCACCACCTTGTAAATAACAACCTTTGTGTCCAGTGTTATTACTATACCGATATTAACCAATGTAATTTTATAATCCAACCTCATGTGAACAAAAACCCATCAAACACTATGTATATTTCTGTTTTAATTTAACCTCTGGTACTGAACATGAATATGAACACTCCATGTTCATGACTAACATGGTTTGTTGATTATAACTGTATCCCATGTTCTGGTAACCCTGTGACATTCCTTGCCAAACTTCTTTCCTCCTGCACTTCCTAAAAATACAAAAGCAGAAGGTGGGCTGGCACAAGTTGGCCAGCCCACGGACACAGGCCCTTGTTGATGTGCTTGCCCGGCTAGAACAGGGCCCTGTGCATGGTAAAGAAGACCCCAAGGCAAGACGACGACGTCTGTACCGATTGGCATCTGAAGAGCGTCCCGTATTCCCTACTCAACAGAGAAACTTCTACAATCATGTGATGGAAAACAAGGAGATTGTCAAGATGCTTTCTCTGCTGTCAACATGCACACAGGATGTTAAGCTGGTGAGAGGCTGAACTTCACAGAATAATACTGGGTGTAGCTCTAAAGTCCTCATATTGCAGAAACTGTTCCAGAGTATCTTTTCTCCAGGTTTTAAAATTTCACTGTCTGATGTTAGATTTAGCTGAATACTCAAAATCTTTCTGTATGCTCACTTGCAAACCCAGTTAATTGTACTTTTGTTTGAATTCATTTTATTGTACACAGTTGTTGAATTTCTTTTGGATCTTATCCTGAAGCCTGTTGTTTAAAGAGATTATGAAATTTTGATTTTTTCTGAGTTCTTTTTTTTTACAACTAAAGTGTTTAATTAAGTAATGTAGAAGTGAACATATGTATTCTAACAGAATAGGATGAAGGGGCTCTTTTCCTGTGTTAAAAGAGGATAGAGTATGAAGTTAGTCATGGTCTACAGTGCCTAGATCTAGTAAGCATTTAATTATATCTCCACAACCCACATAAGCTTTATTGGAATTAAACAGAGCATGAAATATACCTTTCTTTCCTGAGGAGGGTGGAGGGAACAAAGTTGCTAAGGCATAAAGCTGACCTTCATTTCCTGCAGAAGTTTACAGTGCATTGAGTTTTCCCTCATCTCCCTCATAACACCTTCATGGCTTGGTGCTTAGATACAAGGACACCTCTACTTTACTTCAGAGATAAGATTGCTCTTTGCCAAGGTACCACACCACATCTGCGTTTATGTAGCAGACGCTTAAATCTGAGCAAATTGTAGATTTTATCCCTAAATGAAAGAGAATGCTCAGCTTCATACCAACTGCTTTGCTCCTGGGGAAAGAACCTCAAGTACCCATTGGGTAAGAGATTCTGTGGGTGTCAATAGTCAGTATAAATGGGTTGGTGTAGAGGAAATTTTCTGCCCCAGCCAGGAACTGAGTCCAGTAATCCAGCCTGTTGCCACTGTCTTTATTGATAGCTGGCATTCTTCTGCATGGTTTCACATTTTACCTTACTTAGATTCATCGTGTTTTAACCTCTCTTGATATCTTGATATCATATTTGAATAGTATCATGACAAGTATTAGAAAATTCGCTTTTAACAGTGTAAATGGATGTACGTATTTCAAAGTATTTAATTTTATTTATAAGTGCATATTATTGTAACACCTTGGCTGACTAATAATTATTTTATAATTACTGGAAGAAATGTATATTCTAGGGCACTTATTCCATAAATTTCAGCAGAGGAATTAAACCCTAGAGTCACAGTTTTGTCCCTTGGGTCTGTTGCATGCATGAATTTATGAGTGCTCTGGTGAATAATTTGCAGGAGTTGGGAGAATTTCTAAAGCGTTGGGCACCATATAAGTTTCTATGGAAAAACAATGAGCAAAGCAAGAGGGAGATGTTAAATGCAAGTCTGAATGAGTTTGAAAGCTGGTTGCATCGCCATTGTGAACTAGAATCTCAGCTTGCTACTGAACCTGATCAGCATCTCTTTGGCAGTCGCCTTGTTGTCTCTGCAGGTAATAATTGAACTATGGGCAGTGACCTCTCATTTGGTGCAGGGATTAGATTCCTTGAGAATGACGCATAGATGAATTCATGTAGGACATATCTAATACCTTTTGTATTAAATGACAGCACATAGTCTCCAGTTGATACCTAGATAAGTTTGTAGATCTTATACACACACCAAATGAATGCCTACACTCATACTTTACATAAAATAAATGCACACTGAACCACAGAAATAAAAAATAATAAAAGGACGATGCCAAAGAGAGGTGTGGGAGCATAAGAAAGATTAGCAGAAAATTCTAAGTGCATATTTATGAGTAAAATGCTAGAGAAGTTTTGGCAGACTATATATTAAACTTTTCTATTTCTTGTTATTTGTTTTCATGTATAAGGAAATCTGTGTTGGACAAGGATTGGGTGTATACACCAAGCTTGGTCAAGTAAAGAATATTCACAGCAGTTGGACTACAATAAGTTGACCTGTCTGTCACCAGATACTGACACAAGCTCTGAAAAGTGCATTATACTAAAACATACCTAACAGTTGAGATTTTAAAGCAAATTATTGAACTAACATGAAAAAATGTCATTAACAAAATATTTTTGTTTTTTATATTAGTAAAATATTTTTTCATGCAAATATTTAAAGACAGTAGATATTGAAGGGTTGTATCATGTTGGACTTATGTAGTCTATTGAAAGTCAACTGACATGTTGGAGGAACATGCCACTTCTATAGCCAGTGTCAAAGAATAAGTTTAGCAAGAAACCAGCGCAAAGCAGGGAGCAAGCAGAGTGAAATGTCATTTGACTTTCAATGGAATACACAGTGCTATATCCCAGAAGATAGAATTCTACATAACCACCACTCTGAGAACATAAAATCTTACATGGTTGATATTGTTCCAGTAAATGTATAGAATTTTCACATTAAGGATACCTTTCAAAATTATAGTCATGTGGAAATGCATAGTGACCGAGTATGAGCTAAATATATGTTGACTCTGTTTTTATAAAGTATCATAATAGATCTGTCAGATATTTCTGTATCTTTAAACAAGACCGCACCATAGCTCAAGCGGTTAGTCACCGGCTTCCCACTGCGGCGGCCTGGGTTCAATCCCGGGTCTTGTCAAGTGGGATTTGTGGTGACAAAGTGGCGCTGGGGTGGGTTTTCTCTGAGTACTTCGGTTTCCCCTGCCAACCTTCATTCCACCAAATTCTCCATCACCATAATCACTCGGGGCAGGCTACAATAGGCCCATCAGTGGCTGCCATGCCGAGTGGACCCAGTTCGACTCCACCCCCCACTAAGCGAGTTTAAAAAAAAATCTTTAAACAAGTTAACTTCAATTCAGTCATCATATTTCCTAGTGGCTTGCAGAGAATATTACACAAAATTTTTATATCCACTTTTTGGGCCAGAGGTTATATATCAATGAACAAATTTTTCTGGGAGGAACTAAATGACATCTACTTTCCTTAAAATGCTTCCATCTGTCTGGTGCAGCTAGAAAGAAATATAAATTAAGTTACCAATTTTTGTACATAATTACCATAGGTACAGATTTCAACTACCAGTGCTTTAAATTTTCCATTGTCCTTAAAGTTTCACATTATCACTTTATCTGAATTTAATATATAAAAGAATATTCCATACAAAATTTATAGGTATGTTTCTAATCTGTATTCATAATAAATTTTGTCCTCCTGGCTCTGATGGTTCATTATCACCTTCCATATTAAAAGAAAGATATAGATTCTGTATTGTTCCTGTTTCTCTTTTTTTTTTTTTTTTTTTTTTTTTTTTTTTTTTTTTTTTTTTTTTTTTTTTT